CAGAGAGTAACCCGTCCAATTCAATTCCATTCTATAGAAAATCCCATAGTCCCAAAAACAAGTCAAAAGGTTCCATTTCGTGCCGCTATAACATCACCACTTCTGCTTTCATTTCCAATTGCGAACAGTTCATCGTTCCACATGCTTTGTGTTAATCGATGAGGCTCCCTATTGCGTCCCTCCAGCAAATGGCTTCACAGTTCTGCATCTTCTATGCGTGAACTTTCTTCTCACCTTTCTGTGCTTCTTCTACACAGCGTTCAACTCGTCACACACACCCTTACACATTTTTTTCGCAAAAAAGACTCGCTTCCTTCCACTCTTATGCACCTGCACACCAGGAGTTTCGACGTCTATCTCGCTTTATTACTTGCTAATAACAAGCAAAACCTAGGAGGTACAGAAGTACAACGTACCGCACACACACGCACACATCAACACATTCTCAGCCGATTTGTGAACGGTCAGAAGCAATACAGGCGTGAACTTCAAGCTTCAAGCAGAAAAACAAAAAAAAGACTCAAACCCACTCAGAAATCAAATAACAGCTAACTGTTCCATCGGTGGATGCCGTGAATAAAATAGACTCATCTGAAGACAGTGATAGCCGTGTGATTGAGTTGTTAATGAGCATCTATCGTTGTGTATTAGCTCTCCACTGCTTAACTGAAAATAAATAGAGCTAGAATATACCAAGTGATGAAGTCCACAACAGTTGAGTTAACAACACAGCCGGGGGAATCCAGGATATCAGTGACTTCCGAGAAATGCGCAAGAAAAACACCCACAGCAGAAGTCGTGCTGAAAAATCCACTCTTTGTGGGGGAAGGGGGAGGGGTGATAGACTAGCCCACGAGTAGCACAGATGTGTCGTTTCGAAAGTGCGCGACTGCGACGCTAGGACTTCACAAAGTCAGCACTTGACGACTAGTCCTGGGCATGATGGGACAAGTTATGTTTCGCTACAACCATGCGACACGGCAAACGGTGGATTACGGGATAAGATGGCCAGTGTTTAGAAATGCCGCGGCATTTTTGAGTTAGTGGCTAGCAGCATACAACTCGTCTAAGCACGCCCCTTCTTTTTCGGGGGTTATTTTTCTGTTTTGGGCTTCATCGACCATCTTCTTTGTTTCTTTTTTCATTCTTGGTACCCGGCATCCACGACTTCACTATCAACCGCTGCGACCCTACAAATCGATCTGAGGGTGCAGCTATTGTAGTCCATAAAGTCTGTCAGGCAGATTAGGGACGAGGGCAAGAATATCAATGAATCACCGCCCATGCGCGCGAAGGGGAGATTAAAAAGAGTAGTCTCACTTGCAGTGATAATGCAGCAGCTATCGAGACACGCAGTAAGATAGGGAGAAAAAAAGAGAGCACAATTAAAAGGCGAGAGGAATGGACGCTCATGCTGGTGCCTAATGGGTCATTTATTTACCTGCAGATATGATCGAAAAATCAAATGAGTGGGCGCTTTCAGGAGTTATATGAAAGAATTACAAAATAGGTGGTACGATTCGCAGAACAAAAACGTCTGATACATTCGCAACGAGCGTTGGTTGGTTGGGAACCTGACCAGTTTGTCTTAGCAGTGACCGAATGAGGAGGCTCACGATCGGCGAACAGGCTGCAGATGAAAACTTTCTTGTTTGAATGAGTTAAATGAGTTAAGCCTATAGTCGGCAAACAATTCAAGCACAATGCCGGCCGACAATTGAAAACAGACTATCTTTCAGTTGCGTGAATATATCTATTGCAGAGACCGGACAATTCCTCTTCTTGGGCCTCATTAGCCGGGAATGTTGGCCAGGGACAGGTGCACTGGAAGCCACATTCTCGAGATCGTACGCACTTGCTGTTATGTGTGAGCTTTTGAGCAACATCCATCTTTAAAAAAAGCGTTCTATAAGGTCCATTTCCCCGTGAAGAAATTCATCAAATATAATCATACTGCAGAATGGACGGGAGGAAGTGGAACAGTGGCAAGTGGTGATTCTACCACGCATGGTTAGTGGGACAAATCCTCCACAGCAATCACAACTATAACCACCTCTCATGAGATGTTTACCTAGGGAACAACATTGAATTTAACAGCAGCTGCCCCTTACAGGCCGTTGTGTGGGCGTAATATCCTTCCAAATATTATTACGACACGGAACTGAAGTAGAATGCGTTGCATTAGAACAGAATTTATCGACGCTAAGTACTCTTTCTTTATAGCTCGTGGCCAATAAAATGTTATGAATCTTTAATAATATTATACAGCAAAAAATCAGGACCTACCGACCATACAAAAATTTGTGTTCCAATTGCAGCGAATAGCATCGATCCATCCTTAAAAGTGCAAAATGAAGCAATAGTCCCTCCAACCACAGCTTTATGGTGGTACCGGTCTCTTGGGTGGACAGCGAAAGCATGTATAAGAGGACGGTCTTTGATAGAAACCAGTAAGTGGTCACCGCTTATACCTTAACAAAAGCCTCTCTAAGGTTGTAAAAACTGTTAACAGAAGAAATTGGAGCTTTCGCAGTCCAATGGTAGAGAATATGAAATTCCTTACCAAGGGGGACCGCTGCACCAACAGCGCCTCCTTGTAATTCAGATCCTTTATAACTCCAAGAGGCGACACCTGTCCTTGGATCCACAATGATCACAGAAAATGGATCACTACTCGAACCAGCGATTAGAAGTTTCTGGAAATTCGAGCATTTTATTTGATTTCTTGCAAAACCAGGACCTTGATAAGCCAACATCGAAAGTCATGTGATAAAGGAACACAGTGCTGAACGCCATATACTCAATATTTAAAATGGAAAAACGGCGTGGAAAATATGCCATTTTCGGCTCCTTGGCTCATTGTTGCTAAGCCTATAGGAATTATTCACGTTCCAGAAATCTATTTTCAGAAGTTTCCAAAACTTGCAAGTAAACAATTATCTGTTGTAATCTATTAATCCCACATTAACGAACGCGCGCGTTTCGGTGTTTTGGCCACGGGTGTGGTTCGGGTCGACCTACTACTTGAACTCGGTCCTCTAAACTGCCTCAATGGGATGCCCTCTTGCCTTGTCAGCGGCTCATGACCACTGTGACCTCACACATTCAAAATTTTGCCACAGTGTGGTTGGCTTACCCACCTCTATGTCTCTCCCTCCTACAATGGTCCTAGGACTTAAAGTTTCCCGCTTGGGATTTGGAGTTTACGGATTACTTAAACTTTCCTCTGTGGTCCTGCCACGAATGGCGGAGAGCACATAGAGGACGGCTGCTGGCTCGGCTCCAAATCCCAAGGGAGGAGGTGAGAGCCTTAGGACTAAGCCTTGGAGGGGGAGGAACTCCAGGTGGGTGAGCCAATTACAGTGTGGCAAAAGTTTGAATGTGTGAGATCACAGTGGTCATCAGCTGATAAGGCGAGAGAGCGCAGACGAGAGCATCAGATTGAGGCGGCTTAAAGGACCGAGTTCAAGTAGTCCATCGACCGGAATCCGGAGCCGAGGCAGGCGCTGTTCTCCAATTGTTTGTGCCCTCCGCCATTCGTGGCAGGATTACAGAAGAAAGTTCAAGTAACCCGTAAACCGTGTGGTTCGCCAGGTCCACTCATGACCAGCGGTGGACCTGGATTCCCGCAGCGAAAAATGTTTTGCGTTGAAAAACGCGAAAAGGTCGTTTCTGTCTTAGGCCGCGACGCACCAATAGTCTCTCGGCAACGACATGCAAAAGATTGCAAGTGCACAGCATTGGATGCGTATCGATCTGCGACACCTGCGAACTTACGACCGCTGCTGTCGGACGACAGCAACGACCGCAAGTGTCGCATAAACCGCGGTTGCAAATGGAAGGCGACGCGGTAAGTGTCGTAGATCAATACGCAGCTACTATTCCACACTACAGTGGGACTTTCGAAATACGATCACGCGCAGTCACGTGTTGTCTGGGTTAGCATTGGGTGACCGCGTCGCCTTCCATTTGCAACCGCGGTTTATGCGACACTTGCGGTCGTTGCTGTCGTCCGACCGACTATGCGTCCGGCCTTAAGCCGACGTCAACTAGAGGCGCCCACGGACCAAGCGATGCAGCGATCGCGAACTCTGCTCCATAAATGCTTGTCCTTCGCTTAGCTCGACGCCGAAGAAGCGAATATGGCAACCGCATATCCAATCGCTTGCAAAGTGCACAAGCGACGGCCGATGGCTCTGCTCGATCGATACCGCAGCCGACTGCATCGACTGGGGGCGGGGCCAATCGCCCGTCGCTTGTGCACTTTGCAAGCGATTGCGCAATCGCGTGCCAATCGCTCTCGGTCGAGCGATTGGCAAGCGACGGACAAGCGATGGAGCGATCGCGATCGCTCCATCGCTTGGTCCGTCGCCGACTGTGACTCGGTCTTAGGCCGACGTCATACCTTGCAATTCGATTATCGATTCGCTCGAATCGCTAATCGAATTGCAAAGTATGACGCGGCCTTAGCGAACCACACTAGGTGCCTATAACTACCTCGACAAAATGCAAGACGAGTTTTGAGCGTGGCGACTGCCCACTTCTGCACCTCATTCGTTATGGGGCTAATGCCCGTCGTTCCTTGGTTTAAAAATTCTGTCATTCGTAAAGCTAGGACTCAGGGATTTTCCGTACTTTTTGCAAGCTCTTACATACGCAAATTATTACAGTATCTCTGGCGTATGCTTTTCTCCGACATCATACGCAACAGTGATAGCGCTCGCTTCCAGGACAAAGACTTTCGTATCGTTATCGTTTGGCAAAGAGGAACAATTTTTACTTGGCGGACTTTGCGTACCCATTAAGGCCGCGTGAGAGTGTCTGCATTTTAAGTAGAAGCAAGCCATAAACACTGTTGTTTCCTGGACTCGCACACAGACTGACCGCCCGACGACCTCTTGGGCTGGTGTCAGAGTTCGCAATCCGTCGTAGGTTTCGCTAATTTTCGCGATTCACGTGATTTTCGCGAGACCTGCGACAAATTGCAAAAGATTGCAAGTGTGTGAACATTTGAAACACTGAATATGAAACAAGTGGAATCATGAGCAGTCGTCATTCAGCCATCACTATCAAGCAGAAGGGCGGCAGGATTGGAGAACACCTTGCAGTATTGATCGGGCACTTGTGATTTCCGTGACCCGTCGCGCAAATCGCGCAAATCGCGAAAATCAGCGAAACCTGCGACGGATCGCGGACTCTGACACCAGCCATATGGTTAGAGAAAAAAGCCTCAGGAGATGAGGGTAGCTACCAAATCACGCGCTCAGTAGCGTTTCCTATGAAACCCTGTCTCCCCCAAACTCAGGATAGAATCAGCGACGGGGGACGCTCTGGGAACGCGAAAAGGTCGCTGTCCTAGCGAACCACCCTGTTGCGATGTATCTGGAAAAGCATACGAAACACCCGGGCAAGGGTCAAAAATAGTCCACAACACAAAATGCAGTACCTCGGACATTTCTTGACCATGTAGAAGTTGAATTAATAATTACGGTCGTTGCACAATTCGTTGCTTCGAGCTGAAAAGATCAATGTATTGCATTAATTGTGTCGCTTCAAGAATTTGCACCTTGGTAGGATGAAACCACAAGAAAACGAGTAGCCCAAAAAAGGGCGAAGCGTTACAGTAGACGAATAACGATCAAACGTTATTTCAAAACAGAGAAAAATACACCACCAACCTTTTCATAGCACTGGATATTTTTACCTCGTCGTGTATTAAAGTGTGTTGGTGAAAGCTACGGATGTACATTTGATTCGGCGCGTATATTTTTGAAGCTTTCCTAGAGACCGAGGACGACTGCAGGTAGCAGATACATTTGCTTCTGGTATTCGGCAAAAGAAGTAAGAACAGGTCCAGCGCTTAGAAACTCGAAATCTTGAGGAGCACACGCTGAGTTCAAAGAATAAAATCAAAAATCTATAATGATGGGAGAGAGATTGTCCCTTTGTCTTGCGTCTTATTGAGTGTTAAGTAAAGATTTCGTATAATGGAGGGAATTTTGTAAGCATTTCGTGGAAATTCCCACCAGAGAAAACCTTGATTCGAATAGCACAGATGTGTATTATACTTACTCGAGATCCGTAAGTT